TTGGGGGAGAACGTGTCAAGTCGGCTCGAGGTTTATGTTGGTCATACGTATAATTCGTATATTTGTTGTGAAAGTGACAGTGGAAAAGGGATTGCAAAATGTTCCCTTTAGGACATAGAGAAAATATAGTTTTCTTTGGTATGAATTCTTCTCAATTTTACTATATTTCTCTCAGTGTTCAAGAATAGACTCAGTAAGAATCTATGTTGGTAGTAGTAAGTTTTGCTAGAAACATAGCAAATTTTGTTGGTAATATTATTATAGTTAAATTTTATTATATTTATAGTAGTATAATTATATTTTATAATCATGCAATCATAGTATTATAGTATTATTCCTATATATAAAACTGTTACTATAGTAATATAATACTATAAAATTCTCTGCATAAATTCTTCTTGTATTCTAAAAAGGGATATTTTACGATTCTCTTGCCATTATTTCTCTTACAATAAATACACATAGCTAATATTGCCCCTAGATCGACTTGACTCGGCCTGCCCTACATTGTTATTTCCGTCGCCTGAAACTCACCTCAGCTAATTGCGTAATGAGTATTTATGTGCCAGGAGCATTAAATCTACCGCGATAATGTTTATCGGCGCGCACGCGGTACTCACGTCGTTCGGCACGATATTAATTTTTAATGTTCCCGCGAGCCAGGCATGATCCAGTAGTGAGGTAGGTCAGAACCTTCCGCGCGCAAATCGGTAGCATCACCTGTTGCTGATCGTCGACCTCGATCTAATAGCGGACAGAACACGGTCCTGCTAAAATATCTCCCAAGAAGATCGCTCTTGACGGGCTTTAACCTTTTGCCTCACTTTCATCATTCCGAAAACTCGCGTCTCGCTGTGAAACTCCACTTCCGCTTGCGGACAAAGCCTGCATTACGCAAGAGCGTTCTCCAGATACCTCCTCTCTCATGATTACGCCGGAGTAATCGATTTTTACATGTCATTTTACATCGCACATTGCTTGGAGAAAATTTTGATCATCCTTTTAGTATTTTTGTCTTTGGTTTCTACTTAGCCATCCTGTGCGATAAATATATGAGTACCATATAGATCACCAAATTTATATTATTACATGTTATAAATTTAATATTTAGTTCAATACAATATATACAATACAATATTTTTATCAATATTTGCCCCATAAGTATATAATTTAAAAAATTGTAAAATTCCCATCATCATTTTGTGAGTTATATGAAGCTTGTATTTACTACACAGAATAACAAAATGCAAATAAAAATTGTCAAAATTAGCTCAAAATGCTATATAAAGATCTGAGTGTAACTTTTAGTAACTTTGTACAGCTGCATCAACATAAAAAACTCCATCTTATTTTGTGTACAATATAAATTAAATAATTCAGTGCACACAGTATATATTTGTCTCGATGAATGAAATTGAAGTTCTCAAAATTATTCCGAATTGTCACGCAATGATGATCCAATTGTTCCCATCAACAATTGTCTCACGCTGTGTGATAATCATAGTAGTCCGTGTCGGCTCGTCAGGAGTCTAGCGCAGCGGCAAGGTTTAGCGGGACCAAATATGAAGCCTACTTCGCCCTAATTTTCGCGAAGAATACCGTGCGACTCAACGGCCAGCGGAAGCGTTTTGCGCGTCGGTTCCGCGGAACGTTAGGCTTCGCGAGGGCGAGCGAGATAATTGATCGCGCGCGCGGGCGCGACATCGTCGAGACAAATGTCTCGTCAGTGGTGTCCCGCTTCTCCACTTTTACGAGACAATCGAAAGTACGCGGCGCGGCTTTGCGTCTCAGGTGCGCGCGGGGTATCAGATAGACCGGTGATAATCGCGCGGGGGTCCACGGAGTCCCGCGATTGTGCGCAGGCTCGTTTCTCGTGGCGCGCGCGCGGGAATCCATTTCACGCGCCGCTCCGCGTGAGAATGTAACCGCGCGAGCTCTCCTCCAGAATGTGGCACGGGCCTTAATACAGTTAAACGCCGGCGCGTCCGTGTGCTGGGCCCGCGGCACTGACTATGGGATAATCGCGAAGTAGGTAACAGCGTGGAGGATGCATCGTGGAGGCTGTTGTCGCATTAGAGATGCGCTAACCTCGATCGAGCGTGTCGACGGTGGGCCGCGAGTGCGCGCGCACGCGCGCACATCTTCGCGTTCCTAACGAAGCATGATACAAGAAGATGGAATACATTGGCACATTGAGCCGGATACTCACGGCGCAAATTACACGGGTAATACACGACATTCCTCTCGAGCATTGACGAGCATTAGTAATGAAATCCGTGCATATTGACACGCCGCTCAAAGAAGAACACAGAAATGTTCGATTGAACGAGCAGCATCAAATGAAAGATCAAACAAGATTAGCCTCGTGCGAGAGGTTAGACAATTTTTCTGTTGAATTCTCGTAGGAGATTAGCGCAACAAAAGGAAGATAGAAAGTTGTCGTTGAATGCCCAGAGAAGAAATACCGAGTCGATGTTCATTTTATTCATGAATATTATTCATCACTCGAAAGTACATAGTTTCATCTATTTTACTTGACAAATACGACAAATCTTTCGCGCGCTAACCTAATAAATACAATTTCAATAATGATGGAATAAAACGAAATGTTTTTTTGATTTTCAAGCAGAGCTGAGTGCGTTGAATCTTGAGTCATTGATATCATATCATAATTCATCATAAGTTATTAATGTTCTTTTAGGTGGTGAATATTTTGTGCTCGAAGAATACGTCACGATTCCGTGCGCGATTTCTTCATGAAGGAGCGACGTGGAAACTTCCAATTGCTCGCAAACGTAACCCGTTACTCAGCAATTGTTTCTACAACGTCCGCTAACGAGGGATTTAGCGTGATTGCGATATGTAGCGTGTTTGGATATCGCACAAATCGGATAAATTAGCTAATCGCATGCCGCGCGTCCATCGGCTTATTAATTTCGCGCTTATTGCAATCGCACTGAAAACGAACGCGGACACGTGTCGGGAAATGCGAGACACGTATGCGATCGAAGCGCGATTTGCAGAAAAGCGAGGCGCCGGACTATTGCGAATTTGCTGTTGCGTAACGCAGAACAGTAGTACGTTCGTGATCGCGCAACCGCGAGCCGTGTTACAATTTCTTTCGTTTCGCTTTATGTACCGCACTGCCGGTAAATCCGGAACAAAACGTTCCTCCTTGAAAAAAAAAGTGGAGAACATATATTTATTCGAGGAAACTAACGGCAAGAGACATTTCCCGCGCGCAGGAAAAAGTTCGGCTGAATTAACGCAACAATGAACAGACCGAACATGTTTTGAAGGAAATAGAATTTCCGCATTGAGAGGAGAAATATTCGGTGGCTGCTGATAACATATTTACTTATACTACATTGAGGAAAGAATGCTTGACATTTATAACTATATAATCACAGAAAAATAATTACTTTATGATCAAGAAAATCAATTTTTTAATTAAAATCTACTGTAATGTTAGTAACATACATGCATGTCACTGCATGTCATTGCTACCATTTTCGTGTTAGAACAATTAAAATATATAGTTGGGGCCGAAATTAACTATAATTGTTTTTTTTTAGTTACAGCAAATTAGACTATTTTTCTTTTAGAAAGATAGAATAATATAAAATATTTTTCGAATAAGAAAATGTGTGTATATTTTCTTAAAACCTTAGCTTTTCAAATAAATTTTATTTTTTTTTAGATATTTTTTGAAGCGTGGTTTTTATGAAGCTATTTCGGCTCAAAGGGGGAGACTAGAAATTCAGTTTGCTTCAACCCAAAAGCGTTTAGCTCGTTTATTGTCGCATGTGTTAATTCCACCGATTTCTTTCTCGTGAGAGTTCATACTGCTCCATGCCGCTTCCTTCTTCTCCAAGCTCGCCGCAATTTGCATTCATCCGGTCCGGATGACCGTAACAAAACCGCGATGAGGGGTCAACTTGACGCGGGAACGGAGAAATTGCCGAGATGCGAGATGAGCGCAGCCACATTTCACGCCAACACGAGACTCATCATCATTCCGTTGTCTTCTTCCGTTTCTTTCCGTTTCGTTTGTCATGGGAATAACGACACTGAGCGATAGAGTGACCGCCGATCGCATCGGCCGATGCGCAGGGAAAGTAGATCATGCATGCCGATAATCCTCACCCACACTCCGCACAGCGAGAGGATGAGAGGAGGAGGAGGAGGAGAGCACGATAAGAGGAAGGTCACAAGCCGTCCGCAACCTGGAACCAGTTTCTAACATCCCCACATTACGCCGAGGGTCAGTGGGATCACGGTGCCAGGTACACCAATACGATCTACGGCCCTCTCCCTCTGTTTGCATCCATTCGTCCTCTCCTCTCACGCGGAGTACGAATCTCGATGAAGACGAGCGCACACTTATATACACACATACATTCTTACACACCTAGCCGACGGTTTCCTAGAGGATAGCGCGCAGCCGTGTTGGCGAAATTAATGAACGAATCCCGTGGCCGCTGAACGGCGATGTCTCGATCTCGAGTGGCGCGAGTGGGTCTCTGTGTCAGAAAGGGTCACATGGCTCTTCGCGCTACCACCATGAGAATTTTTACGCGCTCCCCCCGCGTCCTGCCGCGGCAGCTGCCTAGCGCGCTGAAAGAGAAAGAGGAGGATGAAAGGACGAGGAGAGGAGAGTCGTCTCGGCGAGGGGGCTGGAGAAGAGACGGAGGATTATACATGCCGCACTCATACACGTGAGGTCGCAGTCGTCACGTGCGCCGGCACATCCGTCCGTTTACGTACGACGCCGAGGAGGCACCTCTCACCCCCTTCGCGAAGGATGGCATCTAGCAGAGGCTGCTCGATGGTATATATCGGCCCGGAGACTTGGTCCTAGCGCCAGTTCTCTCTAGTCGAGGATCAATCTCAGCCCGTGGGTGCCGCGCGGCTTGTCGTACCTCTCCGGGCCAGTCGACGTCGAGAATTTTGCGAGCCTCCTCGCGCCGTCCCTCGCGTGATCCCCGTTGAGAGATTAGCGTCGCGAGCCAGCCGCGAGAAAGCAGCGTCCTGCGTACGACACGTGTCGCCAAGATGTCGCCGATCAGAAATCCGTCTAAGTGTGTGCTGCTGCTGCTGTTGTCAGCTTGCGCCGTTACCATCGTCACCGTCCATGCCGTCGCCGAGGACGAGGCCGGCTTCCTCGACAGAGGTTATCGCGCGCTCTATCGCGTCTACGAGGAGTGCCAACACCGCAACATGGCGGTGTCGCCGTGTCTGAAGAAGAAGGCGATCTCCTTCTTCGAGAGGCTCGGCCGTATACAGAGCTTACCGCTCGGCGAGAATCTGGAGCTCGTGCGGGTCGCGCCCGTGACGGACGACGGCTCGCGTAGCGCGACCTCCGACCTGGAGACAACCTTGGCGCGTAACGGTGGCGGCGGGGCCGCCGACGAGATCCTCAACGACATCCTGTTCGAGCGTGTGGCCGCGCTCATGAACAGCTTCAATGTGCGAATCAGTTTGCCCAAGACCTCGTCGGGTGAGCTGAAGCGCAGCGTCGAGGAGGGCCGCGGCAAGATGAAGAAGATGATGGGCATGATGATGATGGGCATGGCGATGAAGATGGCCGCCATGGTGCCGATCGCCATGGGCGTGCTGTTCCTCTTGGCCGGCAAGGCCCTCATCATCAGCAAGATCGCCTTGGTGCTGTCGCTGATCATCGGCCTGAAGAAGCTGCTGAGCCAAAAGCAGGGTGGCGACCATCACGGCGGCTGGCAGCAGGGTGGTGGCGGTTGGGACAGGAGCCTTAAGGGCACGCCGGTGCCGTCGATGACGGAAGCCGAGCGCGAATACGCGCAGACCCTGGCGTACAGCGCGCGACAGAAGCATTGAGGGTGGACCTTCTGAGGCTGATGGAGGAGATCCTCGAGGAGGCAGGCAGCGGCCTATGCGTATACGAGGGAGCGGACGAGACGCGCTGCTTTTTCCGGAGAAAAAACTGTTCGCGACGACACGGAGTCTTGTTCGTTGACGAGGGCGAATCGTCACGGCTCGAAGGCGCTCGTAGAGTACAGCGGTTTGGCGCGCGTCGCGTATATCGTGAGTTAGGAAAGAGAGAGAGAGAGAGAGTGTGTGTCACGACGAAGACGCAACGACGCACCCATGTCGAAGATATTGACACCTTCGCTACCGGCGTCACGTTGTGTGACGCAACGACCTCTCACCGGGGACCTGCGTCATGCTTATTTATTCACTTATTAACGGCAGTAAAATCCGTTTTCAGTAAAAAAAAAACATAACGTGGAGAAAGGGACCGAATATAAAAGGTACAAACACGAAATCAATTGATGAAGTAAAGCAGAATGAAATAGAAGAAGTTGCACCGAGAAAATAACACTCGGAAATTTAGGAATGTAGAGTTTATTTTTTTTTTCGTGAAATAAAATTTATTTCTGCGAAATAAGCTTTTATCCCGCAGAAATAAACCTTCTAGTATCTCTTTTTCTCCGTGTATACTCGTATAGAAGACATTTTTTGTGCGAGTGTCTTTCTTCATGTTCACATATTATCAAGCCTGTGTTTTCTGAGTTTGTGTCTTGCACGATTACATAAAAAGAGAAATACGAAGTGATCCGCGGGAGGAGTTCTCCGAGTAAGTGCCGACAGCGAAGGTGTCAATGAGACATGTACGCGCAGAAAAGAAATTTCAGACGAATATAGGAAGGAGGACTGGAATGAACGAACTGTCTCAGCGGTCGTGCGAATTTTCGAGAGGCCTGAGATCGCTTCCCGGATGATCAGTCGGACTCTTTTTCCGGATTAACGGTGCCTGCGCGCGTTGCGAAGCGCCGACGTGGTTTCTCCGTTTGACGCGACGTGCGCGATTTGCATTAAGGCGTGAAATTAAAAACGGAGGGGGAAAAGAGAAAAGAGAAGAACAAGGGGAAACGGAAGACACCGCGTGATGCGCGGACGCGAAACAACAGGAGCCGCGGCGACAGATGTTCGCATCTCTCTTGCCGGCTGCCCCGGCAAAATAAACCATCGAAATGATAGCGAGAGAGTCATTTCCACACACGCGAGTTTCTAACGGTGCACGGGCGCTTTTCTTTTTTCTTCTTCTTCTACTTCTTCTTGCTCGTACCGACACAATCGGGACGCGATCAGCCTCGAAGCCGAGCTCCGGGAAAACGGCGGGAACTGTCGCGTCGTCGTTTCTATGTTATCGTCAGCCGAATTTACAGTCATTTCTCACAGCGCGCGCCAGAGATATATTCATATTTATTTATTTATTTATTCGTAGCATACATCACACGCACATAACGCGTGTTAGTCGGCGGTGTACTTACTTGGACGATAGGCGCTCGTGGATTCACTATACGTACAGAGAAGTGTCGTTCTGCCGCTGAAAAACGCGATCACTCGCGTTTACTCGTCTTCTTTTCAGTTATACTTATCTTCAGCAAGGAAGATTTTCCCCTTTGGTGTAATAGTCTTAAAATATACTTGTTGTAATTCCAGAGAAGTTCATTGTCATGCATTCAACAAAAGAATTTGTTTCCCTCACGAGGATTGACGAGATTTTTCACTAAAGAAGGAGTTGAGGTTTGACTCTGAGCAAGTGAACCGAAGTTTTATTTTAATTCAATATTCTCGATAATGCTATCAACGCTACACTTACTAGGATTCGGAATGTATATTAAATAAATGAATTGGATGCTTAAGACGAACTTGTGATCAATATATCAACTCATGAAATACTTGAAACAGGTAATAGCGTTTACTTGAACGCAGTATGTGTATCTTTCTGTACGCGAGATATTTCTTCGCGTAGCGATTGGGAGAAACATTCGAACACTCGCCGAGGCGAGTGTATCTGAATTCGCATTGTCAGGGTGTGATCGTGTATTCAGTAAACTACACTGAGAAAAAGACGTTTGAACATTTATTTATGTGTAAAAGTTGATTTCTCACGAGAATAGATTCTCTCACAGAAATGTGAAGTTTAAAATTTATTATTTAAAATTTAAATTTCGTTTCAGAAATCTTAAACCTATTTCACGCAAATGAACTTTATATCCCACAAACAAATTCTCAGGTATTCTTTTCTCAGCGTACACTGAGAAAAAGATACTTGAATATTTATTTGTGTAGAGTAAAAATTTATTTCAAATAAATTTAATTAATAAATTGTGGAATAAATTTATTACAAATAAACTTTAATTTTCAGAACTTTATCCTACATAAATTTTCAGAACTTTATCCTAAATTAAACTTTATGGCCCAATAAATTTTTAGGTATTTTTTTCTCAGTGTAAGAACGACGACTTAAAGCGACAAGAACGCAAGAAAGAACCACAGAAACAAAGACAGATAGGGACCGCCATTCGAGAGACGTTGGACACTAGCGAATAAGAGGTTACTAATTCCATCCACTGTCAACATTTATTAATTAATAACTCATATACGTATAACTCATATGTTACATTCTAAGACGCAACGTTCATTTCGTAATGATCATGATAATGGGGGATCCGCGCGGATCACGTTCGTCGTGCGCAAGCGGCCATCATCTTACCCTGCGGACGTTGACGAAGAGTACTTCAACCTGACGCGCACCGTTCGAGGGTACGCGCGCACGGCGACGCGGCATACGTGTATTACGAGACGGCGTGCGCGAACGCGTGCACGTTCGACCCGAGAAGCGATTATAAATTCGGCCTTGGTGCACACGCAGGCTTACTCCGTATTTTGTCGGTGATAAAACGACGATACAATTACATTAGTCTAAGATTTTAAATTATTACGAAATAAAGTCATCACGTCATCCTCACACTTCTTCGTGTATCTCTCGATTTGTTTCTTCCTCCGCCCTCCCCCTCTCTTTCTCTCTTTCCCCCGCAAATCCAGCGGTCTGTTCTTTGTAGCTGAACTGGCTGCATCAGCTTGCACTAATTCTCTGTCTTTTTTACATCAAGTGTCACGGCTATATGCTTGTTTCTCTTTAAGTTTCGAAAATGCGCAGCAGTTCGGTTACAAAGGACAGACCTCAGATCACGTTGTCAGTGCACTTTCAGGCCGAGGACGGCGGCGAACAGGGCGAAGAAGAATCCCGCGAGCAGCGTCGTGCCCTTCAAGAGGATCAGGCCGCCGATCATGGTTGGTATCAGGGCGATGAATTTCAGCTTGTACGCCATCAGCAACGCCATCATCGTGCGGTCCATCCGCTTTTTCCGGTCTCGTGGTCGATCTGGAAGTCGCAGGCGCAACGATGTGTACGGTTAAACGATTTCACGATTAAACGCGCGCTCGATGGTGCGCGTATCCGGCCGTTAGAATTCGCTAAGTCGCGGGAACGTGATAGTAGCGGCGTAGTAATAATAGAGGCGGTAGCAGTACTGCTGCTCAATATTCGCGATATTAATGCAGCCTCGCACGCGACGTAATCAGTGCGCGAATGGAATGCAAATTGGCGCGCATGTTGAACAGCGTGACCCGCCGCTCCATTGACAGTTATCGTGAGAGAGACGAGACTCTCCGCGCTAGTCCAGCCGTCAAACCGAATATTTGGCACGTATTTACGGCGTCTCGCTGACAAAAGCCCGTACGATATCAAAAGGAACCGTCAACGGATCTCTGCGACGGCCGTTATACAACGGTAACGCTCATCAAGTTTCATCAAGAGCGGGCCCGAGACAACAATTCGACACGTGGCCTCGGCCACCACACTTTTCGCGCTATTCTGTAGCGCCTCCCATTTAGCGGCGCTGGGAGCAAGATATAAAAGCTTGGAGCTATCTCCGTTAGCCCCGTTCCGGCCCACAATAGGTGTAGTGAATCTCTTTCGCCGTTTGCGTAAGCCACTGTTAAGCCTAAACCTGTTAAGTATTTTTCGGCGGTGATCAAGTGGATTTTGACAGTTTCTGCTTCTCTATCAACGCGAATTCTGCCTTTCCACTTTGTGGCTAAGCTGTGTATTCTTCCTAAAGGCTTACTGCGGACCTATTGCGGACTGGGACTTAATGAACGCGTCTTACAACGTCCGATTTATGCCGCAATTCCAGACAAAATCGTAAGTCTCGTAACTTGTTCTCGTAAAATTGGTAAGAACTTATGAGTAGATACAATTCTATGCGTATCATATGTTGTACGATTACTTGTAAATATCGTAAGTTACGTGAAATCGTAGATGTTTACTAATGGTCATATGGTATACAGTACGCATAGAATTGCAAATCTACTCACAAGTTCTTGCGGATTTTACGAGAGTAAGTTACGAATCTTACGATTCTGTTTAGAATTGCGGTATTAGTTACCTTTTTCCTTCGCGACACCGATCTTGGAATGCGCATCCCCAAAGTCCACCTCGGCCAGCTTGTCTTTGGCGACGTTGTCAGGCGAGGTGAGAGGGGGTGGGCCTTCCGACGTGACATTGCCACGCGTGTACCTGAGGAGCCGCCTGGCGGGCGCGACGTCTCCCTCGGTCTCGTGGCGTTTCTCCCGCGGCGGCGACCTCGTGCACTCGACCGCGCGGATCAGACAGTTGAGGGCCAGCAGAATCGCGACCAGGCTAACTCTCGACAGCATCTTTCCTCGCGTTCATGAAGAACGGGCTCACGCCGGAAATCCACTGACGGAATCTGCTCGCGCTTACGTCCACGCCCTCTCGCTCTCTTTCTCTCTCTGTCTCTCTCTTTCTCTCTCTCTCTCTCTCTCTCTCGCTGTCTCTCGCTGTCTCTCGCTGATTCACCTGGGCTTTTATTACATCGTCGAGCTACTCTCGGCGCGCTGGCGGGCCGTCCGAGTCACGGAGCACCCGGCGAGCGTTTCCTCGAATCGCAGAGACATCCGAACGCAACGTCGATGAGCGCTCTTCCCTCTCACCCGGGATCGTGTCGGGCTCACAGGAAACGAGCTCTCGGCTGTCACGCTATTCCCGACATACCTCCTACGCTGTCGCGTACTCCGACCTCTCGTCACCCTCGGGATGGGACCCTGAACTTGTCAGCGGCCGCGGTGACCGCACGCCAGGGTGCGTGGCTACGTGTGTCTGCCTGTGCGTGGGTCTGCCTGTCCAAGTGCAGCCGCGGGACGGTGAGTCAGTCGACAGCAAGAGTGAACGAACGGCGCAACGAACAGCCGCGGACTAACCGATCCGCCGTTGATTCTCGACGACAAACCCGAGCGGACGGCGCGGATACCGGCGTCGGGCACGCTTCAGTTGCCGGGAAAATCGGCAGTCCGTGAAAAATGAGCTCCGACCGGCTAGCTGACGATATATACGTGCGCGGTAAACACTATGATCCAAATTGTCAGTACCGACATATATATATGTGTCAGGCTGCATCGCGGAACGGTACACGCGCGCCGCGCGTATGCCGCCTGTCAATGGGGATAAGGAGACTCCCGCGGGTGTTTTCGCGAAGAGAAAGGGAGTCGGGAGGCCTCAGCGACGCCGCGAGCGTCTGCTGGCGTACCAGGGGGCGGAAATGATCTTGTGGGACACGACGACAACGACGACGATGACGACGTCGTGTCGTCGACGGTGCTGGCCTCGACCAAGCTGCGCTTTTTTCAGTTACGCCGCGCGGACATCCGAGCCGACGACAAGGACGCAGCGGAACGGATTATGTTGGAAATCCCTCGTGATTTCTTCCTACGAATGCTTCCATCGTACTCGCGACCATTGTTTTTCCGTCTGGCAGTTTCTGGTCGAAACTGATGCTTTTGGATCATTTTAAACGTGCTCAAAGTCTCCAGTTTGACACAACACCGCGTGTTTACTTACTTTTCACTGAAAGCATTTCATTCTTGGAAATACTACTACAATATACGTGAGAAATCAAATATTTTGAAATACATATAAAAGTGCAAATTTTTAAAGGATTTTTAAATAATTTTAATTAAAAAAGTTAATGATTTTTATTAAAGACGAAACAGAGAAAATGACTTCTTAAAAAACATCTGATTATTTAATTAAAGAGTCGATTTGTTAAAAATGAAACTGATGCTTTTGGATCATTTTAGACGTGCTCAAAGTCTCCAGTTTGACACAACACCGCGTGTTTACTTACTTTTCACTGAAAGCATTTCATTCTTGGAAATACTACTACAATATACGTGAGAAATCAAATATTTTGAAATACATATAAAAGTGCAAATTTTTAAAGGATTTTTAAATAATTTTAATAAAAAAAATTAATGATTTTTATTAAAGACGAAACAGAGAAAATGACTTCTTAAAAAACATCTGATTATTTAATTAAAGAGTCGATTTGTTAAAAATTAAAATATCTATAGAGACGTCGATTAAAAAATAAAAGCTCTTTCTTTATGGATAAAATTCTGTCTCAACCCGGATAGACAGGTGTACGTAAATTTGGTAGGAACTTTATACTAGTCGATTTTTAAAGCTTGCATTCTTTATGAATGGTTCATATGGCGCTCATATTTATCACATAGAATGATGTGATTAATGATATGTGTGACGAAAGAACGATGAAAATTTACTGTGAACAATATGTCATGTAAAAGTAATGTGAAAACCTGAATATAACTGTTAATAAATCTATCGCTGTGCATTAAAATTCACAATATTTGTATATATAAATTTAATAATTAATTAAACAGAACATTATATCTGTTTCATAAGTGTAATTGAAAAGAAATTGTAAGTTTTCCATCATCGATTGTCTCACGTCGTGATAATAATGAAAGTTTATCTGTGTAAAGACAGAGCTCTTATCTTTTAATAAATGACATGTGAATATCCTGCTCAAAAATGACAAACTGAAATATACTGTTTATATACTACACAGCTCAAGCATAACACTTTATTACTTATAAGTACTTCTAATACAAGTGTTGGTTCGCACTTGCTTCTGAATGAATTCACTTTTTTAGGTTATGTATACAACAAGATTACATTTGCGTGGCGAATGATCTTCTTATGTCATTGGAACGCCGTGTAATTTTCACTGCCGCTGTATAACTCCGCCACTTGCGAGCAAGAGAGAAAGAGAGATGTCTCGACGTCAAAATAATCGGTTTCGCGATCGACCTCTTAAGCATTCCTGATTGTAAAAAAAAAGAAACTATCATCCTGTTACACACACTTTACCTCGCCCACTGATCGATTCTGTCGATAAAAAGTATTTAAAAAATATTGTTCTCTTTTTTGCTTTTAATACATCGGAACATCCTGCTCTCGCAGCGGAATATTGCGAACTGCACCACATCCTGCTTCTGCTACTTATTTATCTCAGCTATCTGAACACACTTGAAACTACACAGGCGGGTTCCGCCTGAGTGCGCGATCGAATGTTGCATTTTGTTCTAAGAGTTGCCGATAAATTCGCCACGTACAAGTCGCTCGTGTCCGCGGGAAAAGAAATTAGAAATCTACCTGTGTATAACGCTGCAATCGACGACGACGACGACGACGATGACGACGATGGTCGCTGATGATCCTGTTGGGATCTATTTTTTAGTTACGCCCGGCAAACATGCGGGCCGCTAATAACTCGTCAGCAGCCGGTAACTTCAAATGATCCTTGCAACCTGTGCGCAACAGACAGCCACCATTTTCCTCCTGTTGCGATTAACTAGAGTTGCGTATCTGGGTATATAGGTTCGAAATTGTTTATGGGCGTTGTATATGGTACGCCCGGTCACTTTCCATTCGCGATCTCGAGCAAATCGCGACGTTTCGCAACATAATAAGGACGTTTACGTCGGCAGCCGACGTTAATCGTGATTTAATGAATCGTCTCTCTTGCCAGCCGCCGAGGGGAAGCAGGATTTAGGACGCCGTGGATCACTATCGATCCACAAAGTGAGACTGCAATCGGTATCCAAGCAAGAGCAGCAGATTGCAATCGCGCCGCGGACGATCATTCGTTATGGCGCGTGATCGAACAGCGTGATTATTTATTTGCGTGATTTGCGCGATGCCTGAAGCGGACAGATGTGAAATAAATTCACACATCAGCCGAATGACGGTCGGATAATACTAATGGCTTTCGTGTCAAGCACTCGTCGAGCTCGCTGGAGCGAGCGAACGAGCGCGAGAGAGAGAAAGAGAAAGAAGGAGAAAAGAAAATACACACGGCGCGGAGAAAACGGCTATGTTGTGAAAACAATGACGAATCTGCATAAAGTTAAAGTGGCGCGCTCGAAACGCGCGGTGCCAGATGCTCGCGCACGCGAGATCGATTCTGCCGTGTAACATACCGCGTAGCACATTCCCGTTTGATCGGGGTGATTGATGGCGCGGCGCAATAATTCCCCAGCAGCCGACGCGCGGCTTGCGTTCACTATGATCTTATCTGCTCTGAAAATCACGACGCGCGATCGCACGCACCGTCTGTCTGTTGGACAAACCGATATTTAGCCGTCATTATCACGTGTGTACTCTCTCCGTGACTTTCCTCATCCCGGCGGCGGCGTCGCGAACCAATTTCACGAACGATAAACCCATATATTTACACGCGTTCGCTAAGAAAATCTGCACGCCCTGATTGTGCGCTGCTACCGAGATCGTTTCTTCTTTCTTTTTTTTTTCATTCTTTCATTGAGCGAACATCGTTTCTGATTCGCGTCACCGACGTGGAGAACACCCGCTCGCCATTTGTTCATTGCGAAAGGATATTAACTTTCGATACATTGAAAAAAATATATAAAAAATAGTAAATACTATATAACGACTATATAACGACTATTTATTTAAATCTAAATTCTTTTATTTTATATATTTTATTTTTATACATGGCTTAAACAGTTTTCACGAACAGATAAGGTTTTCTCAGGATTAAAAAAAATATATATATTTTTTTATTTTAAAAAATTTTTAATATAATTTATATAATTTATATAATATTAGTATAAATAATTATTTACTATTTTTCTTAGATATTTTCGCTCTCAGTGCAGTTGTGTAATTTTTTTTTACGTAAGTGCTCGTGTAGGGATCATTTGATCCACATTTGTATTTCGTTTATAAAAATAATTTTTTACTTTAATTTGTCACAAATTAAGATATGTTTTAAACGTAAAATTATTATGTTTAAATATCACAAGTCTATGCACAGAAAAATATCATTCTAGAAAATTGTTTCCTAGGAAAAGCGATTACTTAGTTTACTTTCCATCTTTGAAGTAATTAGTTATCTTCAACAAAGAATATTTTTTGAGAATATTCTCAAAATATAGTTATCACAAATTTTATAAAAGTTTTAATATTTTTATAAAATATTACAAGAAATGGAAAAGATGAAAGTCTTTATCAATAAAATATAATACGGATTACAAATGCTAATAATATTTATTAATTTAAGATGACTTTTATCAAGCTTCGATTAACTTAATTCTTAACTTAATTTTTGTAACTAGCAGAATTGGCCAAAACTATTTGCTAATAAAAGCTTGATCAGAGTTTGGTAAAAGAGTCTTCCTAAATTAATATGCATTATTAACATTTATATAAAATCCATATTATTTTATTGATAAATATTTTCATTTTTTTCCATTTCTTGCAATCATTTTTTTCCATTTCTTCCATTTCCTACACGTTTTCTATAAGGGTACTAATACTATTTATTTCGACAGAATACTTATCTTTTTGGACCATTTTCTCCCAAATTCTGAGGTGCATCACTTTGATACTTATAAATCTTCAATCTCTCCTCTCATCATTAACTATAATTTTATAAAAAAATTATTTGAGATTTCGTATGTCACAAAATAGGGCTGAAAGTTAGCAAAAAGCTTGGTCGTTCTCTTTGATCCTTATAACGGGTTAGTGATAGATTTACGGGCATACAAGTTCATGAAGTGAACAACGTAGAACAAGTAACTAACTCGAACGCAGCATGTATCTTACTGTGTGAACTTAAAAAATATTTCTTCACGTAATAGGACTTGAAGGAATATTCGTATGTTTATCCGCCTTGGTGTATATTCTGAAATTTGGAAACTTTGGTTTCAGTTAAAGTTGGTGTATATTCTGAAATTTGGAAACTTTGGTTTCAGTTAAAGTTGGTGGATCTTAAACTAACTTAGATATGTTTCGTAGACGATCAGCTGATTCACGCGATTAGTTTCACAAACCTGTTTCTGTTTATAAAATTGTTTTCTACTAACTATAACAGTTGTCGGATTTTCTCGAATTCCCCGATCGTAAAGACGATCGCGTGAATCAGCTGGTCGATTATGTATTCAAGTTGGTTCAAGGTCTATCTTATAACTCAAACCACAGTTTCCGAAATCGATTCTGGAACATACTCTTGGTCGGTTCGACTTTTCCCCACCTCCTCCTCCCCATGTACGGGTTAACGCTGTATTGTTTTATCGGTCGCGCGTTTAATTGCGAACGCCCGCCGTCCTTGGAACCGCCGGATCGGCCGCTCGAAGACAATCCATGCCGGTCTATTAGTCGAGTTCTTCGTGTGTGAAGCCGGCAACCCACATATCAGTACAGTAGTTTTATTCATGTGCCACCTATAGACCTATTGCTTTATAAATAGAAGGGAAGCGGGGCATAATTTCACTGTTTCCTTCGCGAACTCGAATATCCCAAATGACTATGGCCGCGATAAACACGGGGAGGATACCGGAAGGTGAAATGAGGGGGACGCTCTCTTCGCTACGCTCGTTAAATCACTGTCATCGTACAACCGACATTTTTTTCTCTCTCTCTCTCTCTTCTTCTCTATGGCTATATCTATCGATTGTCAATCGATCCTTCCGACTGATGGTCGTGGCAGGCAACAGATTTCGCGAAAATCAGTGGCACACGACAGTCTTGTATTCGTCCGTGTCGGTTGACATTGGCCGAGTCGGCAAACTCAGTCCACGATAATCACGCAAATTTCGCCGGCATAATAACTTTGTTCCGCGGAGTCGTTCATATGAAACTCTCTTTTCACTACCGTTGTCACTGTTGTTAGCTGTGATCCTAGTTCCGGCGAAGATAGCGGATACTTAAAAAGGAGGAGCCTGTCATCAGTGACAAAGCAACAGCGTGCGTTCGACGAGGTAAAATTCCTCGCGGCAGACGTTGCTGCAATACGCGTGTAACGGTATCAAGTCATAATCTGTCCCCCCTCCCCCGTGGCTGCCACGGATTTTAGATGCAGATCGAAATGTGCACGTGAAAGTTCCCGAGAAAATGTTTCCTTTGGACGGATTGGAAGATACACATTCTCGACGCAACGCGATATAACCCCGGAGCAATTAAACTCCCCGCTTCTCCTCCGTTTCCGCGAGCTGACCCTAGTAGAAATTGAACCTCGTCGGTATCTAGCCACGGGATAGCAAATTTCTAACATCACCAGACAGTAATATTACGCTCGTTTCTTTTAGTGGCCAGATAAAGTCAGCTGATAATTAGACAAACGAAATTACGGCTGTGAGCTGAAAAACCATAAGTAGTTAGCTAGTAAAATTGAACGCTCGATTCTGCTTCCATGAAATTTTCATGAAAATTAACGTAACTTTAATTTGGATTCGCTACTTGATTGCAAAATGCTAGTGGTGATATAATAGCTGAATTATGTATCTTAGAATATAGACAGTGCGATCTGCTCCATCATATTTCATACGTAATGGCTAGGCAAAAACCGGATTCTGTATTTCGGTGAACAACCAGCCAGTAACGAATTATTAACGAGCTGGAACATTTGATTTAGTCTGCGGCCAGCTAGCTAGCTAGTAGCTTTGGGATTCAGTGCCGGCTAGTTGCATTTCTACTCGGGGAGCTCTGAATTCCGTCGCGATTGTCGTTACGAATTAGTCACGTGACTCGGCTGTTTCTCCTCGATCCCAAGCTCGCCCTCAGAGGCCGGAGTGGCTTCGATTTACATTGTTACTCCTCCCGCTTTAGTTCTCCGCGATATGAACGGGCCGTAGGTCGACGTAGCTGGCAGCGCGTCTCCGTGGCCGTAGTTACTCGGGTGTGAAGCGAATCTGGATTGATAATAGACGCCGCGCACACTCTCATGGACGGAGGACAATAACGGCGAAGAGGTCCGGCGTCGGAGGGAGTAGAGCGATCCACTTATACCCCGGTCGAAATAATCCGCCGGGGGAGAGAGATATGCCCTCTTCTCTACTGAGAGCGAGCAATGCGGACGGCGTCCAATGATCGCGGCAGACCGGACCTCGGGTGGTACGGGAGTGGACGTTGGATCCTTCGTCACGCGTCAGTACCAAGTTAGATGGTAGTCTCCTCCTCTGGTCTTTTCACGGTCCCACTATATAAACTAATGGTCCGGTCTGGCACGAATGTCAGTTGACATATTATTGGCGGAGTGGCCGCTACACCGGTGTGGCATTTCTCGTGCGGCTTGACCGCGGAGGGTTCAAGAGAGGGTGAGAGATCGCGCGACAGGGTGTGTGCTGCGTGAAGCTGCGGAGAGAAAGAGAAAGACAGAAAAAGAGAGATAGAAAGAAAGAGAGAGAGAGCGAAAGACAGAGAGTAAGCAAGGGCGAGAGAAACGACAGGAGGACCGTATATTCCAAAGAAATGTTGCTGCCGTACGTACTGCTCGTGCTACCCGTGATCGTCGCAGCACAGCTGAGCTCGCAAGCGACGGGAACGCTGGTCCGAGAGACCAGGCGTGACAACAGCTCGGGGGATGACGTTCTGGACCTAATTGGCGAGAGCTTTCTGGACGTTGTTGATACTCTTCTACCCGCTTCCAAGTTGGACGATATCGCGGAAGGTATACCGACCACAAAATATATAAATAATCACATATAAATATAAATATATATATATATATATATATATATATATATATATATATATATATATATATATATTT